ATAATATCATTAAATATAGTTTGAGTGTTGTGCGGATACTCAACAATTTTAAAAGCGATAATTTTTTTATGCATGACCCAAAATGGATCTATATAGTGTGCAGATGCAACTATATAACCTCTCTTAAAACTAATCCATTTCCACATATCCGAAGTTAAAGATATCACACCATCAATTTTTTCTAAATTCGCAATCAACAGTTTCTTTGAATTAAGAAAATATTCAATTGTATTAGAACGAAGAGTATTTCGACTTACCTTAACGTACCTCTGTTGAAGATATTGTTTGACGTAGTTTGCGAAATGTTGATTGTCTGCTATTGCTAGTGACAGCTCCGCCGCGGCAACGAACTTCACCATTTCCGTTCGAGCTTCCTTCTCCGAATACATTGACGTAGAAAGTGGCGTAGTAGTAGCACCGACGCCTGAAGTACCAAACTGTAGTTGCGTTTGATCAGTTGGAAGAAGCCCATGTTTGGCCACACATTTTTTGTAGTGACGGTTGAGGTAGGTGATTCCAATGCCTTTTTGTTAGTCGTCGTTGTTAACAGTATTTACATACTGTTTTGGTTTCTGGAAGTCCATCGACCACACGACCGTATGAATCAATTTGAAATGATCCCAACATTTTGCCTACTTCTTTCCCTTTCTTTTCCTTCTTGTATCGTGAATATTTAATGTAGGTTATTCATCTTATTCCAAATCAATTGAAACATTATGATCAATATTAACGTCATCCAAATCAATTGGATGACTACCTTCACGAACGTCGAAAGTTTCAATGTTTTCTGGAATTGGTAATTCATTGAGACCGGCGAATTCATTCCCAAATTAATTTTGGGCAGGTGTTTTGTTTTCCATACCGAACAAGTTTTCAACAAATTCTCTTGGATCCATTTGGGAATAATAAAAATTGAATGTTGAAGACTTGAAGTAGAATATAGAAATGTAGAATTGAGAAGTGAATGAAAATTATGTAGTTGTGTTTAAAATGAATTGTAAAATCAAGATAATAATGTTAAAAAAATGTAGAAGATGATTATAGAATAAATGAATGATATTGTTGATAATGATTTATAAATTGTAGAATGTAAAGAGTAGAGTAGAGAATGAAAGTTTTGTGGAAAAAAAATGCTGCAATGGTGTGTATTTATAGGAGAAGAAAGAAAATTAGAAAAATAAAGAAAAAAATTGACCAAACAGTCACTGAAAAATTCAGTGACTGGAACTTCCGGTCACTTTCTGTCACTTTTTTGTTTTGTTTTTATTTTTTTTAAAATTTAGACGAGCCCACGAGCCAATCGGCTCGTGGACTCGTCGCTTGGCTCGATGGCTCGTCTGAGCCTCGCCACAAGCTGCTTGGTGAGCAGCTCGTGTACAATACGAGTCGAGTGGGCTCTGCTTGTGCTCAGGCTTATCTTTTGACGAGCTCGAGTGGCTCGTGGATCGCTACAATACGAGCCGAGCGGACGAGCCGACGAGTCGCTCGACTCGATTGCCACCACTATTTCTAATGGTCAACGATCGGTGGTCGTGGTTGGAAATCGCGACTTTGATGGGCATTGGAGAGGGGAAGTCGGACTCGACAGTCGGCGGTTTCGATTTGGATATGTAGATGTAGATGTAGTTTTCAATTTATCAAATGATTTGAGATCAATGACTCAGTGATTATCGAATGAAAGTATGAAATTGGAAAGAGAATGATTAAAATTTAAAAAAATCTAGATCTTGGGCTAAGAATAAAATTAATAATAGGACCAAAAAATT